AGGTGAAGCTGTGTATTTGCAGCATCTGCTGCTGCTGATCCCTCTCATTATCTGGCCAGGCCAACTGTACTACCTCCCCTCCCCGTGGCAAACCAAACATCAGGTCCCTGGCATTGAACGAGGCTGGGGTACACCCAGTGGACTCCTACACAGAGATCTGGTTTACCCAGAGAGCAAGGGGTAAGGGCTGGTCCCAGTCCCGCTGGTGCTGTGAGACCAGGGTGGCCAGTTGGGTGGAGAGTGTTGCTCGGGGGATGCAGTAGGTACAGTAGGTCTGTGTTTTCTTAATCCCCAGGCGCTGGCACACCCCTGTGCACACCTGAGACTTGAAATTCTGCCCCCGGTTACTATTGAGCTCCTCTGGCACCCCGAGCCTGCCGAACATTCCCTCCAATAGGGTCTTGGTCACAGTGGACACACTCTGATATGGGACAGTGTAAATGTCAGGCCACTTTGTAAAATAATCTACTGCCACCAGGACATAGCAGTTGCATGCCTCACTGCAGGCCCTATAGGTCCACCCTGACTCACTCTATGGGTGCTCCCACCTGATGTTGTTGGAGCAGCACTTGGAAGGGCTCTTCTTAGTTATGCAGACGGCACATGTCCCAGTGGTAGGGACCCCAATTAGAGTGGCTCTGGAATTGCCACAGAGTTTTTGCGGATCTAATGTGTCCTACACCCAGCTGGCCATGCACTACCTTATGGAGCGCCAACGGCACCACCAGCTGCCACCTGACCTCGCCGTTGGAGAGTACCCACCACCCCCTGCACAGCAGCCCATTCGTCACCTCCAAGGCCTGCCTGCCACAGGGTGTAGAAAGCCTTCACAGAGTTGGGGGTGAGGAGCTGCCTTACACTACGCGTCCCACACAAAACGGCACTTCTTCTCCTTGAGGCTGGTGAAGTCCCAGACGAATCTCCGGAAGTAAGATGCCAACCCCAGAAAACTGCAAAGCTGTGCCACAGTGCGGGGCATTGGCCATTCACGCACTGTGACGACCTTCCCCGTGTCCGTAGCCACCCCTCGCAGGCCAACCACATACCCCAGGAAAGTACTGTACCATCCCTCCTCAGCAGCTTGCATCTCCCGGGGTTGAGCTTCAACCTGGCCTGCTGGCTGCAAGCCAACACTAATTAGAGGTTTGCCAGTGCCTGCTCGAACTCCCGGGTATGCATGAGTAGGTTGTCTAGATACACAACGCATTTGCTCCATCATCGCTCGAACATCACCGGGGCACAACACAGTCCGAATTGCCAGAGCCCCTAGCAAATGGAGAAGGCTACTTTTGGGCAAGCCTCAGGGGCGAGCAGAACCTGCCAGTAGCTGCAGCGGAGATCAAGTGAACTGAACCAGGTCAACCAGGAAAATATCATCCAGGGCATCATCTATCCGCGGCAGCGGATAGGAGTACTACCTGATGACCTCATTCAGTTTTCTATAGTCAACATAAAACCTCCATGAGCTGTCCTTCTTCCAGATCAAGACAACCGGAGCAGAACTGCCCAGTCACTGTCCTCAGGCGCAGGTTGGTGGGTGGCCATCGTGGGGGTCCGACTGTCAGAGCAGGGTGATGGTCGAGCTCCTGTTGACCAGGGTCTGCCCTCAGTGAGGCAGGGAAGAAACAAACCCCCGCTGTGGCCAATCCTTCCCACAGTGGCAGGCGGGGTGTAGAACTTCTCTTGGCTCTCCGGAGTGGGGGTGGTGTCGTTCAAGGGCAGCCTGCCCCCCTTTAGGCCCCCTCTCTCCACAGTGGTGACAGGTGACCCGCCGTTGCCGTGCTGGCCGTCTCCTCTGCGGGGAATAATCCCTCCTTCGCCGGGTGAGCTGCTGTTGGGTAGCCCTCATTAGGGCTGTGGCCACCGTTGGTGCCAAAGAGCCACTCCGACCTCTGGCTGCAGGCGGCTGCTGCCCCTTCACTGCTGAGGGAACTGACGCTTCTCAGAGTCTGTCGTGTCGCAGATCACCGTCCATCTGTCCT